GCTTAATCTAATCAAAAGACATAAAAAGGGTTCCTGAAGGGCCTGAACTACAAGTCTACAACTTGCCAACTTGGTGTTAAAAGTTCGCCTTTGAGGCCTGCCTTTATAAAAGGAAGCCCAGATCCTATAAGTTTTCGGGCCTCTTTAAATTTTAATTATTCAGATTTATATTTAAGATCAAAAGAGACTTCTTTTTATTTTTTATGTTTTTAATCAATTGATAATGTTAACAACTTAATAGTATGTTTTTGGTTGAGAGGATGAGAAGAGAAAAGAGGAAAAAGTTTTCTTTATTTAGTTATAAAAAAAAAATTAGAGGGAAGGGGAGGGGAAGTGAAAGAAAGTTATTTGTTTTTATTTATTTATCTAAATGAGAGAAGGAGAGGAAAATAGGATGATAAAATTTCTATTTTCTCCTTTCCTCAGTCCATTTAATTAAAAGATATATTAAAAACAAATATTAGTGTTTATTAGTGAAACTTGCAAAAAAATTAGATAGAAAAACACTCAAAATTATATTATTTCAATAAACTACCACGAAAAACAAAAGAGACTAAAACATCCTAATTTTTGAAACAAGAATAAGATTATTTTAGTGTTTTTTTTTCTCATAGTAGTTTATTAAAATGATATAGTTTTTAGTATTTTTCTATCTACTTTTTTTTATAAATTTAGCTAAGTAACAATAATATTTTATATATACATATGTATTCAAAAAAATGAGTAATAGAGAAATGTTGCTAGCATTTCTTATCATAAATAAATAAAAAAAGAGCTACTAATTTTAATATTATATTTTTTTTATTAACCTCTTGATATCTCATTGGGTTTCAACTAATTTGAAATTGAACTGCGTCGAATCCTATAAAAGGGAAGCTTTTTCAGTGAATATTTTTCTATTCACAAAACTCAAATTTGAAATTTTACTTTAAAATAATTAAACTTATTTCATAATCAACAGATTGTTGGCATCTTAATAGTATTGTTGGTATCTTAATAGTATGTTTAATTATAAGGGAAATGAAGAGAAATAAATATGAAGGAATAACTAATCTTAA